TGTCCATTTGTTATTTCGTGTCGCTGAATGCAATACTAAAACTCCTTTTATGTACTGCCTTTCATCAGACTTGAAAAACTGGCCTTAAATCACATCACAGATTGGAGCCTCAATCTGGTGTTGCTGGGGGGTTTAAGATTCCTAGAGCTCTCTTGGTCATTGCAGTACTAAACCAGGTTTTGGCATAATTTCATTGTGCATTAGGATGGTTAGTGCACAGCCAGAACTCAAAGTGAAATTCAGAGTGCAGCCAACAGGGGAACTACTCAGAAAATCAAAGCTGTTGAACTGAAATTGCCCTTACTTTTGGTGCCTGCCAACTGAGGCAACTTGTATAATGTTGTTTCAGAGGACAGCTGGGTTGAAGCTTTGCCTCTATGTGTCCCCGAGGCTGGGTTCAGGGGCTTCACACTGCCAGTGAGGGGTTGCATGTCGTGCCCAGATAGAGGGGAAGCAGGGTGGGCATGCAGCTCTGCTCCTTCATGTCTTGGATGGAATTTGCTGCTTCTAAATTAGTCCCTATGCAGGTTGTGGTAGGTATGCGTGCTCTGCACTCATTCAACACTGCATGAGTAATCAAAAGATCTGCATACCACTTATGAGGTGTAGTGATGCAATGGGAAAGCAAATCTCTAGTGTTTCCAAGGCAACTTGTGCATCTGCCCCTGGCTGGGAGGCAGAAGGCTGCCCATCACTGCAGACAGTGGCTTCAGCAAACTTTGCCAGAAGGAAGCATGTGCTTGCCTCAAGCCCTTCTTGGCACTGGCATGAAGAAAACAGTGCTGCACGTCAGTTTTCTTGGCTAGAACACTATGCTTTTGTGTGTGTGTCTGTGCATGGTTGGTTTGTTTTTTGCACACCTGTGTGCCTAGTTCATAAGCTGCATAAAAGTCACCTGTATTCAGTATATATAGTGTAGCACTAATTATATAAGTTTTTTCTCCTAAAATGTGACTTGTATCATGCCTTAGTTATAATTGTACAGCTATTTGGATTTCATTGATGTGTTTTAAAATGCACATCATCTTCACTGGGTCATAAGAAGATTAACACTTCTGCTTGCAGAGCACAGCAAAGTCAATATTTGATCTAATTTGAAGCTGACCTGAGGTTTCTGATGAAAGTGGCTCTATTCTGAATGATGTAAGACCTTTGCAGCTGATGAGTCCCTAGCATTGCTTCCATAATTAAAGTTGCACGGTCAGTAAACATGAGTTCACTCTGAGTATCTTTACACAGCTCTCTGACATGCAAAAAAACAGCCTTTTCTTTTATGTGATTATAGCTCACGTAGAAATTGAGCTTCTCAGGAATTGTCTGTCAAAATGTTTTTAATGAAAAATTGAGTTTCCGTAACCATTGATGCATTGATGTTTTTTGCTTTTAACTGTTGACGCTGATGGGCTAAAAAGCTTGGGGTTTGGCAGGGGGAGAAAACTGCATTAGTTCAACTTATTTGGAGAATTTCTATTTGCTGGATTAATTTGCTATGTTCTGGGTTTGTTTTCATTCGCTGAATGTTAAACTCTTTTTTCTAATGGTGCACGTACTGCCTGAGGGGAATAGCTACAGCTCCTGCTTTCCGTGGCTCTTTGCTTCTAACATTGGCTAGGGGTTCAAGCACTGCTGCTGCTCCCCAGGCCCTGGTCCTGCCCTTCAGCAGCTGGATAAGAAGGGTAGCTGTTCCTGGCCACCATTTCAGATGATTCTACTGATGGGGTGAGTCCTGCCCCTCTCTGTGAAGGCTTGACAAGCAGACACTTGTTTGTGGAGCTGTGGTGATATTGGCAGCAGGGCACATATAGTTGCAGTGGACTCTGTGTATGTTCTCTCATTGCCACCCTCTCAAGCTGTTCAATTAGATGTTTATAAATGCTAAAGCATGTCAGCAGTCTTAAGATGACATTATTAGCTCTGTTTCACCCTCTAGTAACAACAGAAGAATGTAGTTGTTCTTCTCTGGCTTCACACGCTTACGTGTGAGGAGACCCTGTGGCGGACTCTGCCTTTATCTGAAAATTAGCTCTGAAATCTAGGAATAAGTGGAGATAAAAGCAACATCAGTTTCAGCCCCTGCTTTTAGCAGTCACTGGGAATTAGCTGTGTGGAAGCAGCCAGCCAGCACTTCCAGTTGTTACACCATGCGCTGCCTTGCACAGGCCTGGCTCCAGACACTGGGCATGTGAGATGTCCTCAGCGATGCTGAGTGGATCTTCTGTAGCTGTCTCAGGAGCTCCATGTCCTTCACTGGTATCTTTTAATTGTGCTCCATTGCCCCTCTGTGGTGTGCTATTATCTCCATGAGGCAGGAGAGGAGCCTTGGACAGAGATGGATGGATTTGTTTGCTAGAGGTCACAAAGCAATTCTCTAGCCGTGCTGCTCTGCTGGTTCCCAGCAGTGTCTCAGAGGTCCCTCTTCCTTCAGAGCTGCTGATTGTTTGGGTTGTTTTTTTTAGCTTCCTTTCCCTGCATTAGGGCAGGGTGAAATTACCTGGACAGATGAAACAAGCAGATTTCAGAGGGACTTGGTCCTGACTGCATGTGGGGCTTTGTGGAGGGAACCAGCCAGCATGAGCAGCCCATATTTCATTTTAAACTTGTTCACCAAGTAAGGATAAAGCTGACCATTATACGTTCCTTTGAGGAGCTCGTGAATCTGCTGGAGGCCACCAGGAACTGTGTTGGGAATGGAAAGACTGCTTGCAAGAGGAAGCTGTAACCTCTTAGGCAGTGGATTGCAAATGCTGGAGTGTTACAGGAAGATGGTGCATGTAATTGTTTCTGGATCAGATGAGAGGATAGAGAAGAAAGATATGGCATCTGAGGAGGAGAAGGAGAAAAGTAACATGCAACACTCGGAGCAGAAACTGCTGGTAGTCAGGCATGAGGACAAAAGGAAGAAGCAGCTTTTGGAGCCTTTTACAAAGGAATCATCTCTAGGGCAATTGCAACTGAAATCCAAATTAACAGTCACATTTAAGGTATCGGAGCCAGCTTTATTACTTTGAATTGAGCTGGTTTAGGAAAAGAAAATGTATTTTGCCTTTATTAAATATTTATTTTGCTTGAGATTTAGCTTTTTTCTTTATCATGACATGATCATCACAACTTGTAATGACTTAAATTGTGTTAGGTGGCTTACTTGGTTTCCAGTGAGCAAAACAAGCTGTTTATTTTCCTTCAATAAAACAGGTTTTTTTTAGCTCTTCAATTCCAAACTTTTTGTTGGAATAAAAAAATAGGAAGCAACAATTTAAGCAAAAACTATGCTTGTGTTTTTGAAATCTGTAAGTGTTCCTTGAGACATGGGACTCATTGCAGAGTGTTTTATTCCTGGTATGCATAGAAAATCTGAATTCTGATGCCAGTTACAAGTGCATCTGGAGCAAGGCAGTAAACTCATAGGTCATAGTTTGGGACAAAAAGGTCCCAGCCTTGCTTGGTGTGCTCTGGGAAAGGGTAATATTAATTTTTGTAGTGCTTGGATTGGAGCAAAATAGAAAAGCATTATTCTATCACAAATATGCTGTAAATTAGAGCATCATGGAGGGGTTGATGTTGGCAGAGACACGTGGAGGTCACCTGGTGCGGCCTCTGAGCAGGGCCAAACAGATAACTGACCCTTCAGCAATCTATTACTTTCTCAGGTTATTTTCATCTTTCTGATTTCATTCCTGCTGAGAATCCATTCTGGCATGTGTTAAAAATAATATGTAAACAAAGCGTGAACTGTTCAGTTATGTGATAGTCAGGGATTAAAAACATGGTGATCAAATGCAGCATCTGATGTCAGTAGGAAGATTTTCTTACTGTCTTGGGAAGATTTGAAATTATACTTGTTTTGAAATGTGAGTGTTGAGTCTGTAAAACAAACTTACTTTCACGCCTAAACGAGGAACACTCATCTGAGTTGGAGAGAGCTTTTCCTCCTGGATAGGGGCCCTTTGCTGAGGTTTTATTTCACATCATTTCTAAAGAGAAAATCTTCAAGAAAGCTGTCAGAAGTGTGATGTCTTGGAAGGGCTTTGCTCTCAGTGTGACCACTGCTAGCTTCTGCTCTAAACAGCTGAAGCTCCTGTGACTATCAGGCGGTGTACTCTACTCTGAACCACATGAGCTAACAGGAGAGTTTCTGTTTTATTTTTCCTGTGTTTCTCAGATCTGTTTGAAATACAGGACTTCTTAGAAATACCATATATCTGTATTGCTTTCAGCTTTTTTATCTCCATGCTCTTACCTTCAAGTAGGTGTAGGGGGTATCCTCAGTTAATATCCCTTCCAGTATTAGGAAAAAAAAAATGGAAGGTTGTATTAAGCTCCTTTCTCAATTACATAAATTGCTCTGAAAGTAGTGCCTTCTATTTATTTCCATGTAAACAACAACAGTTGCAAAGAGCACAGTAATACTATTTGATAGAGCAAATTCTCAGCTACGGAATGCTATTCTTCAACACAGCAACAAAATATACTGGATATTGGTGGGAAGGTTCAACTTCTACTGCTGTATTGCCACCATCTGCTCTAATATCCTGGGCCAACATAATAAAATAATAGGTGTTACTTCCAGAGCAGCCCTCATAGATCCCTTAATTGCCATGACTTATGGAGATGGCTGTATTCTTTCCTGTGTATGATGGGTTGTGTACGCTCCTGTGAAGTGATTGTGTATATTCCTATGTATTATTTAACTAAATTCACATGTGGACTCAACATTCTGTCTCTATCACCACTGACCAGCAAAAAAGAATGACTGCAATAGGATTATCAGTGCATTCATACTACCATCTTTCAAGCTCATACTACCATCTTTCAAGCTGGTCTTTATCTCGGAGTTTAAATTTGGAAGTTGTTGGCCATTTCTCTAGGTCTGTATTTGTACAGTTACCTGTGTGATGTATTTGATCCCCATCCTATCAGTAGGGCTTCAAAGCAGTCAAATTATACAGGCATAATGTTCACTCTTTTGCATAAGACACTGAGTCTTTTTTTCCTTTTGGCAGATTGAAGACATCATTACGAGAATGCAGGATGACAAAACTGGTGGAGTCCCCATCCGAACTGTCAAGAGCTTTCTGTCTAAAATCCCCAGTGTCGTCACCGGTAAGGACCCTGGTTAGAACAGAAGAGAGGGTGAACTGGTGTTAGCTGGCTGTAGGCCAACAAAGATGCAAAAAGAAAGAATGTAAGAAAAAAATTGCCCATCTCTCCTTAATGTTTACGCTTTGTTAGGGGTGAAGTACTGAACCAAAATTGATTAACTTTTTAAGAAAGAAAGTATCTCTATTTCCTTATAGTGAGTTATATTTAAAAGTATGTCACATGCTTCAGTGCCTGTCACACAATCTTTCAATATTATGGAAGTAGGAAGATTTTAGGGAAGAATTCAGGGAAGAATGTTGAAGCTTTGCTTATACCCAAATACTTTTGTCAGAATTCTATTATGTGTAGAAAAATGAGATGTTTGTGCGCCTATACCTTTTCATTAAATGTGTGCAAAGGTGTGAATAGTGCAGGAACTGACTGTCGCTACAAAAATGTTCCTATACATATTTCCAGACAATAGTTGCTGGTGCGATAATGAACTTTACTCTTATTTTATACATTTATTCAGGGTGGTGTGATGTAAACTGCTTGTAGGTTGTGATTCTGGTACGTGCTTTTGATAACACTATGGTAGTACTCACTGCAGTGACACAGAAGTGACATTTCCCCTCTCCAACACTAGACAGTATCTGATCCCAACTACGCCTTAACTTATGATCTCTTTTATGTTGTAAAGTAAACATAACTTTCTTAGTCCTGCAGAGTTGCTTTCTGAATCAAATCAGATACATGTACTGGTCAGTTTAGGAAAGTTTCAACTCTGTTTTCTGAAAAAGTGAAGAACTTCAATCTCTGTGGCTGCTACAGTGACATCTTCACTCCAGTAAAATTGAAATAATCACTAAAAATGCTCCAGTGCATTATTGCATATGGGCAGTGCACTGATAACTGGGGACAAAAGCTGGCAGTTCACATGGATGCTTCTGGCTCTTGGAGACTTTATACTGTTGTAAAATAATAGGATAATATTTCTAGTCAACAGGAATACTGGTAATAGAATTGGTGTCAAGTCACTGCAAAGATGGTTCCCTGCAGTGGAACACAGCTGAGCTAAAGCACTTCAGAAATATCCTTACTGTGAAAAATGTTGGATTGAGCAGAATTTGGGGTTGTGATGATTCATTTAGGTGTGTGGTTTAATATTCTTGTATCAAGAAAATAATGTCTGACTTAAGCTACAGGAATGGGATATAAATCTGCAGAGCTCTTGTGGATAGGCAGGGAATGTGGAAACTGAAGTTTTTATTTAAATAAGGTTTGGTCCAGCTAATCCCTTCTTATTGAGCAACAAGCTCTTCTGTCTGAAATAGATTCCAGAATATTGGATTCAAAATCACTGGCAGTTACAGGATTATTGTGTGAAATAAACATAAGTCTATAATGAGATGTGTAAACTGTGGTAAGGTGCTAGTCTACAATACACAAGCTGGATGTCCTGAGACTTACTCAACTGAAATAGGTTTCTAGTATTCCTGTTAGTATTCATGGCATTGATAAAGCAGTTGATCTAGTCATCAAGTTGTCATCTTTAAACTGATTATCCTTATCCTTAAGTAGCACTGAGGTTGGCAGCTCCCTAGTGTGATGGAAGGTACATGCTTGTAATCTGTTCCTCCGAAACAGCAGCTGCATCACCCTGAAATGGCTGTTCTCAACAGCATGGGAATAGTGGAAAGATGAAAATAAGAACAAAGTCTCCCTCTAAAGCTCACAACAAACCCTCAAATTTGAAGTGGAACAAGCTCAGTAACACTCCCTTCAGGTGATTTGAAGACGGTTGCATTATGATGCACTGTGTGCTACATGAGGCCTCCAAGTTTAAAAAGCATAGTTAAATAATGGATCAGCTAAGAGCCCAAAGCCTTCTCTCCATTTCATATTTCTCCCTTTAGTTGCGTACACCTACTTGTGTATGTTTTTGGTGTTCATAGTAGATGGTCAAAAAGCTGGAACACTTGATGTGTGAAAGGAGGCAAGAACGCGTATCTGAGCAGAAGTTGGTTTTTGTTCAGTTGGAAGGAGGCAGAGCTAAAAGGAATGTGAGTTTATTGAGGAGATAACATCAGAGACATGTAGAGGAAGCACAGAAGACAGCGTACACGAGTTGCATGAATAGAAATTCCAACTAGATGTAGGGAGAAAGCTCTCTGTGGTTAGAGCAGCCGAATGATAGCCAGGAGAGAGGCTGTGGAACTAGAGTGTTTTGGAACTATTCAGGAATCCCTGAGCACAGCTGAACTGAGCAGTCTGACTTAACTTGACGTTTAGCTTTGCCTTAGCTGGAGGCTGGACTAGGTGACCTCTTGTGAAAGTTTGCAACCTGAATTATTCCTATGATCTTAGGTTACTCAAAGTTAGTGCTTTTCTAATTTCTTCAATTTCATGAACACAAGATAATTTCAAAAAGCTTTAGGCGTATCTTTACACCTGTCCTTTTAGTGAAACTTAATTTCTAGACTCTGGCTTTTTTGCACACTATTCTTCCTGAAAAGTAGAACAGTGATGTTAAGATATGATTTACTTGGCAGGTTCGCAGTTGCTGTTATTAACAGTGCTTTATTTTTGCTTGACACTTTATTATAAAGTCTTTTCACAGAAGAAATGGTTTTTTCTTTAAGATTTTACAGCACTGCCTTGGTGCTCTTAGCATGCAGCTCTGTTTATAGTACAGAAAAGTGGATGTTTGATTTAAAGTTTGAATCCCAGGGAAGGAACCACTCATTTCTGTTTTGCTTTCATGTCTGGATGCTTGAGTTATGAATGAAGAATCCTGTAACATAAGGAGGAAAACATTGGGGAATTATCATTAATGGTTCTCTCTAGATAACAGGAGTCTGGGAAAAGGAAGAAAAAACCTTTTTTGAATGTGTGATGAGTCTGCATGTGGATGCTGTGCCAAAGGCAAGTTTTAATCTGCATTAGAAATAGATTCGTGTATCCTCTTCCTTGGCTTTTGACTCAAAGTAGGTCAGTCAAAGGAGGAAGCATCACACCGTCTTCACTTCTATGGGCAAACTGCAGAATGAGAATGAAATAAAGATGTAACCAGACAGTGTAGCATCTGTGCATATATTCAACAGATTCTCTGGTAAGTTTAGAGTACGATGCTGGCACAGCAGACAAACGGAAGCAAAAACTGACTAAAGACAAGTATTGAGAAGGGCTGTGATCCATACATCAGCCAATGTCCATCATGATGGTTGCTGCAATAAATAGATGTTTACATTTCTCTTTTAATAGGGAAGCCATTTTCTCAGTAATGATTTGTTTCTGCAAATGGATTAGCAATTCTCTGTTGTTCTAGACTGATGTAAGAATCTCTTTATGGTATCCAACTACAAAGCTGGCCTTCTACTCTTTTTGATATCCATGCTTTCACATCTTAAAACTAGCCTTTTCTTAGGTCAGTGCACATAACACCTGTACTTTCTTCTCCCATTGATTCAGACTTAGTCCTTTACAATGTTGATGATAAAAGTTAGAAAAGCCAATGCTAACCTGCAACAGCTGACCTTTCCAGTGTAAAAAGTTTCCTTCATACTTATACTGGTCTTCTCTTCATTCCTAATCTCATTTCACATTTTCTCATCTGATCCTGTGTACTGGCATCTTTGTTGTTACAACCCAATGGAGACGTGCTGTCTACTAGTTTTCTACCATTCTGTCCCCATCCCAAGAAGTTTTGATAATTCATCCTGACCTGTTACCTATCCACTTCAAGCAGTCCTGTCCTCACAGGAGAGATAACTCCTTCCAGCAGCAGTTCCCTTGTTGTCACCCTACTTATGCACTAACCCTTACCCCCAGTGGTTGCTTGTCCTTGCTGTGTTCTCATAGCTACCTGTGTGGCCTGGAACACACTGATGAATGATGTCTGGCTGTTCTGGCTTGGGGTAATTGCCACTTAAGTTTCATGCACACAGTTCTGTCAATGCATTTTGTTCTTGACCTGCTGTGTCTTTTATACTAAGTTCCAGACCTCTCTGAGCAGCAAGTGCCAATATTACTGAATACAGCCAGATGGCCTGTCGTTTCTCAAGACTCATGATATATACCAAGTTTAAACTGCCATGTGTCTCTGTCTGAAGAAGCCAGCATGCATCTTGGCAAATGCACATACAGTTGTCTCAGAACAATTCAGAATGTCAACTGCTCAAAGAAAATGCCTTTGGCTGGAGCAAGTAAATCCCATCGCGTTGGAGAAGAGAGAGGTCTTATTACTGATGGTGTTTCCCAATGGTAAAGTTCAGGGCAGCTAGGGTATGGCAGATTTCATACGCATGTTGTGAGGTGAGCTCCTCAGGAGCCAATCTGGTGGTATTTGTAGCATTTTCCCTTCAGGGGAGCCCAAATGCATCTCACAGCCAGATGTGCAAAGGTAAAGAGCAGGTTCCTCCTCTTCAGGATTTGAAAGCTCCTGGTTCAGAGGAACTGTACAAAGTGAGAGGCTGGTGGTGAGGGGAGCAGGACCAGGACTGGCAATGCCAACAAGCAGCAGCAGCACCCATCACCTAGCAAGGCCCAGTGAGCTGGCTGCCAGGCTTTGCTGCAATGTTTATTTTCTTAATGCTTTTATTTTAGAGTTAGAGCCTGTCTTGGTTCTTCACAGAAACTGCTTTTACTGTGACCAAATGGCTCTGAAGCTGTCTGCAAATTGGTTTCCCCAGGGCTGTATGTTGAGAAACTTGCATCTCCTGACCATAGGATTTTAGTTGTAGGACTGGCCCTGATTGCAGGCTGAGCTGAGCATTTTGGCAGTGGCATTCTAGATTTGAAATACACATCCCTGGATTTGGGATAGCCACAATATCTGACAGCCACTTGTATATCTGAAACATCAAAATGACTGTGTGATTCAGTGATTTGAGTCCAAGTCAATCAGTCTTTTTTTTCTTTTTGATTTTGACTTCCTTTGTGCAATTTTGCTCTCTGAGAAACAGAGGACTTAAAATGCAGTACTGGCTCTGTTTCAAACAAAGTTAGTAAATGCAGATTGT